TTTTCGTCTCTTCACTGTGGTCAGTAGATCTTCATGCTGCCCCACTGCGTTTGTGATTCTGTTCCGTACCTAAGCATTTGAAATGTGGTCTTTGTTTTTACCTCAGGGGATGGTCAATCGAAACCGTATCTGACCCCAGACAAGATAAACGGCGTTGAGACCGTCCAGTATATGCTGACATGCCACACTTCTTCTTCGACTCCGGGCATGACCTTTGAACTCCGAGACGGGGGCACGGGGAAGCGGGTCCAGACGAGCAGTAGTGGTGTTTTCATTGTCACTGCCACCGCTGTGTACAGCAGTGAGTGGTCGTTTCTTTGTTTGGGGGGGGCTGTTGTTGTTGTTGTTGTTGTTGTTGTTGTTGTTGTTGTTGTTGTTGTTGTTGTTGCTGTTGTTGTTGTATTGTTGTTAACAATGATGCTGATATTGTTGTTGTTGTTGTAAGATGTTGTTATTGTTTTTGTTGTTGTTGTTGTAAGATGTTGTTATTGTTTTTGTTGTTGTTGTTGTAAGATGTTGTTATTGTTTTTGTTGTTGTAAGATGTTGTTGTTGTTTTTGTTGTTGTAAGATGTTGTTGTTGTTGTTGTATTGTTGTTGTTGTTATATTGCTGTTGATGATGGTGCTGTTATTGTTGTTGATGTAAGATGTTGTTGTTGTTGTTATTGTTTTTGTTGTTGTTGTTTATGTTGTTATATTGTTGTTGGTGATGATGCTGTTATTGTTGTTGTTGTTGTTGTTTATGTTGTTATATTGTTGTTCATGATGATGCTGTTATTGTTGTTGTTGTTGTTGTTTATGTTGTTATATTGTTGTTTATGATGATGCTGTTATTGTTGTTGTTGTTGTAAGATCTTGTTGTTGTTATTGTTGTTGTTGTTGTATTGTTGTTGTTGTTGTTGTATTGTTGTTATTGTTGTTGTTGTATTGTTGTTGTTGTTGTTGTATTGTTGTTGTTGTTGTTGTTGTTGTTGCTGCTGCTGTTGTTGTTGTTGTTGTTGTTGTTGTTGTTGTTAATGATGATGATGTTACTATTATTATTGTTGTTGTTGTGGTTCTTATATTGGTTGTTGTTATTGTTACTATCGCTGTCGTTTTCAGCCTTGTTGTTGCTTGTGTTGCTACTGCTTTTGTTGCATGGGAGACGGATAATTAGATAGACAGATTGGTTGGAAGGTATATATAGATCTTCATCAACTTTCTTTTTTGATAGCTTCAGAAGACATCATAAGCATTTTCTATTCCTACAGGCCTGTCCTTCATAAGCTTTTAGCGTTTTTTAAAAGTATTATTGCTGTTTTGTGCTTACGTCTGAATGAAAATAGGCCGTGTGTGTGTATGTGTGTGTATGTGTGTGTGGGTGTGGGTGTGTGTGTATGTGTGTGTGTGTGTGTGTGTGTGTGT